CCCAGGAACACGCATCCCTCGCAAGATCCCCAAGATAAGATGGCAGGCTTTGGAAAACCAGAAGTGTAGCTCCACTTGCGCTAAAGGTGGGGTGGGGGTGGTGGATAACTCAAAAGGCGTCATTGAGATATCAAAACAATGTTGTGGTCCAGTGGCTCACAGCTGCAGATGGAGTGGATCCAACACGCCGGATGCTAATGTCAGTGACGGTAGTTCGGTGCCTGAATTTGACCGGATTCCTGGTCACAAAGGAAATGGACCATCAGTGAGAAGTCACACAGAGGAAAGCAGGATTAGCCTGAGGGGGTTGACCAAGGGGTTCTGCCTTGTCCACATCATTCCTTGGACACATATGGTTCTGAAAATGTTGCTCTCCTGAAGATGTTGCTGGGAATATTCACAAGAGAGGCCGTGGGGTTTAGAGAGGATGTAAGCTGAGCCAAGGACTAGCCCACGGCACTTTCTGCATGAAGAGCAGCTGCCCTGGGAAGGACACAATTCTTCAGGTCTTTGTCTAGGTCTTACCACAGAGGCACAAATGTGATGTTGGGTGAATCAAACTTTGATTGGGTTCATTCAACAACTTGCCTTACAAAACAGTGTTCACACAGAGTCTAAATAGTCGTGTAAGCCAGTTTAAGGCGATGTTGAGAAGGGGAATTGGGAGAAACGGTACCCACTAGTAAACAAAAGTTGCCTTGTCTGGGTTATCATGAAGCCAGCTGTCTCTGTGGCCACTGGGTTTTAGGGACTGGGCTGGTCATAGTGAGGCTACCACATACCTCTTCTCTCAGGGGGCTGGTGGTCACCACACAGCCTGGTAAGGCCCTACCCAGTTCCCATGACTGACTGCCTTTCCATCCTCCACAGCCCTCTTCTGCAGCTTGATTCTTGACAATGGTGATTGATATTATTTCATATTTTTGTGGTAATATTAAGCTATATTCACAGGTATCTCTGATGAGTGGGCAACATGATCTGTTTCCTGTTGTAGAAAAGCAGATATAGTTATTAACGGAATTCGGTGGGGTTCGGAAGCCACATCTAGCATGCTTATCAGTGACTTGGGGGACACATGGAAGTTACAAGGTCAAGGAGCATGGCTTAGAGATGGTTGCTGGGATCAGGGTCCAAACAGACCTCAGCAGGCTGAGCTCCCAAGCCAAAAGCACCAAGAAGAGATTCATGGGTGACTAATGTTAAATCAATCTTGCACAAGCATTGCCCGGAGAGCTAGCTCTGCCATCATTATTTTGATGTTATTTTTAAGAACAACTAGTTGCTGTCATTTGTGACACACCCACCAGCTACACGGAGACACTGTGTGGTTTCCTTTCTCCCTGTGTGTTTTAAGTATTGTGTGAATGATGGTGACTAGCTGTTTAACCTGAGTGTTATGAAAGTTAAAAGCTTATCTAACAGCTTTAATCATTATGTAATCCTGCCTCCAAAGGGGTTCCAATAAATGGTGTGGCTGAAATAAGAAGAAGGGGGGGGGGAGAAGGGAGGGAGGGGAGAGGGAGAAGGAAGAAAAGACAGAAAGAGTAAGGGAGGATGGAGGGGAAAAGGGAGGGAAACTTTATCAAAAATTTGGCATGGGTTAAGGAAATAGCTTAGTTCAGTTCCGAGAACCCACATAGAAAAGTCAGGGGGGCCGGGAGGTGGTGGCGCACGCCTTTAATCCCAGCACTCAGGAGACAGAGGCAGATGGATCTCTGTGAGTTCGAGGCCAGCCTGGTCTACAAGAGCTAGTTCCAGGACAGGCTCCAAAGCTACAGAGAAACCATGTCTCAACAAACCAACAAAAGGAAAAGAAAAAAGAAAAAAAGAAAAAGAAAAGTCAGGTATGATAGCCTGTGTTTGTAATTGCAGCACTGGGGAGGCTGAGAAAGATGGTTCTCTTGGGTTGGTGAGCCAGCACTGTCAAAGAAGTGAGCTCCAAACTGATATGAGACCCTGTTTTAGAGTCAAAAATCAAAGTGGACTGCTCCAGAGTAATGACATACAAGATTATTCTCTGGTTTCCACATCTGTGCATACATGCACTGTACACACCCACATGTGCGCACGCGTGCGCGCATACACATACACACACACACACACACAAGCACACATGCATATACACATGGGAATATGGATCATGGGGCAATACCTGGCTTAGGCTCTTTTTAGATATAATGCCACAGTCTAGACACTGCATTTTGAGATTTAAAATTTGCATCCTTAATTGTGTGCAGAGATTGAACACAGTCACGAAAGAGCAGAAGGCGTTTGGGGTATTAGCCCGGTAATGGAGGCTTTGGGGAAATCTAGGAGGGTTCTTCCAGAGGAGAGGAGTGGGGCTCATTGTCGGATTCTTTAGAGGGATGGAAATTCTGGGAAAGGAAGACCAGAAGAGAGAAGTGGCTAAAATCAGGGACTTTGTTGCTACTTTGTAGCTAGAAAGCACACAGGCCAGTGGTTGGCAGAAACGCCTCTGGGGTCTGTGGAACCCAACCGTCCTAACAGAGAAGGGGACACCACCACGACGCCTTGAGATGCCATTTGCTTTCTGTTTTCTTAAGAGGAAAAAAAAAATCTGACGGATCCAATCAGAGGAACCAGATGTTTTCATTTTATAATGTGCCCGTTTTAATTATTTTAGAATCAAGATGTTTTCTCTAAGTGAAGGTGGAGGAGCTATGGAAAGAAACCCGAGTCTAACTATAAGTGGAACAGATGGGAAGGCGGGAGTAAAAACAAATTAAAGCAATATTGCAGGGGGCTCTCAACTTTCGCTTAAAAAATATATGATGATATTTTTCAACTTTTCACATTCGACCAATTCATAGATTGAGTGACAGGATGAATAGCCAGTTTCAGCTGTGTAGAGTTTAAGCATTTGCCTAAACGGTCTGGACTTACCCCGCCGAGAAGTCCAGATGAATGCATTAAACTGCTAATTGTATTTTTCTATGAATTGGAATTTTGTATTTTATACTATATTATAGACAGGGTTGTGTTTGATGACATTCAGGGCAGAAAATCGACCCAAACAGTGTTCTTAATTAGAACAGTCAATAGTATGGGTTTAATTAGCTCCTGTTCCTGATGACAGATTTGGTCAGCGGCCAAATATTTATTCTTTCTGTCTCTCTGTTGAGGCTGCAGTACTGTTCTATGGGGCTGTTCACTGTGCTATTAATAGAAGCTGTCAGACCCGGTGACCGGGGGCACTTGAGTAAAAGTTATTGGAAAACCTTTTTTGCGCCCTGTCATTATTTTTTTTTTCTCATTTTGGTTTTGAAGGTCTTCCCTACCAATCCCCTTCTTAATTTAACTTTTTTGGGGAGGGAATGATGATGTAACTTGCCTGAAGGCTCAGGGCAACCTGAGCCATATCTAGTTCAGGCGCATGCTGTCATTCAGCACTGTGTCCTGGTTTCTCTACATTCTCTGCCTTATGACCTACCTGTTAAATCCTGTCTGACTTGACCATTTATTTCCACATTCCAAGAGGACAGGGTTTTGTTCGTTTGCTTACCTGCTTGATTTTAAGGAAGACATTTTGTGTTTTATCTTTTAGAATATGGTAGAAGGGGCTGGAGAGAAGGGTCAGCGGCTCAGACTTGCTGTTTCTCAGAGGGCTGGGGTTCAGTTGTCAGCACCTGTTCTGGGGGAACCACAGTCACCTGTGACACCCCCTCCAGGTGATCTAATGCCTCCCTTCTGCCCTCCAAAGTAGCCTGCGCTCATGTGAGTGCACGCGCTACCCCACCCCAGACACGGGAATATATATAAGTAAGGGTAAAAACAAGCCTTTTAAACATGCTTCGAAATAGGGAGACGCAACACAGAATGTTGCGTAAGTCATCCAAAGCCCTCCCACTCTCTCACCGTGGCATTCTCTTTCTCTGGGCATCTCTTGGTCTATCCACGGGCAGACTTGCCCCTGTTAAATAAGTCATTGTCATCAATGATTGTATTTTGACCTAAAATACTTCAAAGATAGACAGAAGGAAAGAAAGAAAAAGAGAAAGAAAGAGAGAGAGAGAGAGAGAGAGAGAGAGAGAGAGAGAGAGAGAAAGAAAGAAAGAAAGAAATTTCAAAGCCACCGAAAACATCACCCAGGAAAGACCACCTGGCTCGATGCTGATTCCTAAGGCTTAGGCACATTTGCTGCAAAGGGTAAAGGAAAGCCAGCAATGCCATTCCTCTTGTGATTTTTCCCAGGGACAGAGGCGGCTTGATGTGCATTCTTGTAGCCTGTGCTCCTATACTTTCACTGCTGTGTACGAAGACAGAAACTGTTTTGTGTTTTCACTTTAAAGAAATCAAACCACACCAGCCTTTTCTACTTTCTTACCTCTGCTAATAGATATAAGACAGTCTTTCCGATGCTAACCATAAGACTATCAAATGTTTATATGGCATATAATTTTCTTGGCATTTTATGGTTTCAGCGCTTTAATATAAATTTCTAAGATATCTGGAATTCATTCTGACATATTTTAAGAATTTATAGATTTTTCTAAAAAGTCTTTTTTATTAGATTTATTATTCATTTTGTTTTATGTGTGAGTGTTTCACCTGTGTGTGTGTGTGTGTTTATGATCATATGTGTGCTTGGTGCCTGCTGAGGTCAGAAGGGGCATGGGCTCTCCGGGGACTGGAGTTATGAACAGTCATGAATTACTCTCTGTGCACTGGGCATCGAACTTGGGTTCTCTGTGAGAGCAACACGTGCTCTTAACTGCTGCCAAGTTTCTCCCAACCAAGAGTTTATCTATTTATAAAAATAATCTGTAATACTAGTACCTAGGAGACGGGGGCGATGAGGTGGAGAGAGCAGCCTGGGGTGCACATAAACTCAGTGTCTGCTCGAGCTACGTCGTGAGACGCTAGCTCCAGAATTAAAATAGTTTAAAGCTACTTTTAGTAGATAAAATAAAACGTGCTTTGTAGTAGACTTAGGTGATAATTGACTTCTATAATTGGCTGTATTCCCCCCCACCGTACAGACCTCAAGGAACACTCATTCCGAGGAAGACAAAGATGGCAACTGGGATGCTTGGGGCGACTGGAGCGACTGTTCCCGGACCTGTGGCGGAGGAGCTTCCTATTCCCTGCGGAGGTGTCTGACGGGAAGGTCAGTGGGGGCTTGGTCACTCCTGGGGGGACTGTGTCACTGTCTCTGGGTGACACAGAAGGGGAGGGGCTGTGGCTCTGAAGTGTCCTATTCGGTGAAGGTGACTTACTATCTATCATAAACATCAGCCAATCTCAAGTTAACATATTTATAAGGGAACAAACCTACTTTCTGGTATGTCACCGTGACCTATTTACATTAGTGGTCACAGGGTTCAGGAAAACCAGACACTTTGGTCCCAAGAAAGTGAAGGCCTGTTAAGTTCACTGTTAACAGGGTTCAGGGACAAATGTTATGTCATCTTGGTGGCAGTCCTTGCAAGGCTGCCACTGAAATCACTTTCTTCTGTGAATGCACCATGGATGAAGAAGGTAATGTAGGAACTGGGGAGCCGACACAAGGGGTAAAGTGTGTGCTTCACAAGCAAAGGACCCGAGTTCAGGTCCCTGGAACCCACAGAAAAGTCAGGAGTGGTGGTGCACGGTCGTGACCCTGTGTTGGATGGGTGCAGCAGCTCCCGCGGTATAACTGTTAGTGTTCTGGACTATGAATTCAGCAATCTGAGTTCATATCTCGGTGGAACCTGTTCCTTGTGAAGAGACCTGGTCAGTTGTCCTCATCAACTCAGACCATGAAACCCAGTATAGACGGGCTGCCCATGCATGCTTCAGCATTGCTGGGGGCATCTTCACTTCATAGGGTGGGCAGAGACACGTGGATCACAGGGCCTTGCTGCTCAGCATGTCTAGCCAAAGTGGTGAACTTATGTTCCGTGAGAGATCCTGCCTCAAAAATTAAGAGAGAGCTATGGGGACATACGCACACACGGGAGAGCTCACCCATGTGTTCAAATGCATACAACACACACACATTTTTTAAAAGTCTTATAAAGAAGGTAATACACACTCTGTTTTCATCTCTTCAATCCATTTATACTAAAATGTGAGATCAGTTTAATTTTAATAGCCCACTAGTCTCTGGGAATCCTGCGCTCGCTATTTTTGAAGTTGTGACCCATGGAAGAGTTTAAACCATGATTCTTGGGTAAGGCGCAACCTCAGGCGATAGACTCTCATCTTCTGGTCCCAGACAAAAATCTCCTAGATTACGGCAGCCGTCTTCACATGTAGGATGCCGTCGGGTGATCGAGTGAACTGGCTTTTACTGTTCATCTCCAGCTACGGAGAAGAGACACAAGGGAAGCATATTTTCTTCTGCTCAGTTTGCGGTTCATGTAGATCTTGTGCAGGTGTATTAGAAAGTGATGAAGTCTGTCCTTCACTTTCCTCGAGACAGTGCGGGCTTTGGTGCATGAAGAGCCAGAGTCTTTGAGGAGGAGGACACATTGGTCCACCCAGGAAGGCACAGCAAGGCTGCTGGAGCATGGTTGTAGTTTCATCTAAAGAAATTTTGATAGAACCTCAGCTTAGGTAAATGGATACAGACTTGAAACCAGGCTTAGTTTAGTGACAATCAGGGTTATGCTTGATCCCCCCGTTTTCTTTTATCTTCATTGGGAAATTAAGTCTCTATAACTCTAAATACATTGTTATGTGTAGAAGAATCATGTTGTATCTTATAATATCAGGGTATATCTATATAAATATAGAGTTATAAATCCTACCGAGATCTTTGTCAGAGGACCACATTACCCGTGGACAAGGGGAGGACAGTGACTTCTATGGTGAAGGATAAGTTCCTCTCCACTGCTGGTCAGTCACTAAGGGGAGAAGGGTCAACCTGAAAGCTGAAGGGGCAGCTTGGATGTCTCTATGTAACCTCCAAATATGAGGGACATGAATAATTTTAAATTAATAATAGCTGTAATGGTAAAGAAGTGGAATTTGCTCCATTGTCTTCCTTAAAAAAAATGTATCCTGTACTCACGTTTGTTAAAAAAGAATTTAGAAGAGTATATTAATGGATGATAATTTTCATTCCCTTTCCATAGAATCAAAATATTTACATGTTTATATATTCTTGATTCACCTGAAATTATTCTGGTCTTGCTTGTAAACCAATCTTGCCATGTAATGCCTCTCAGGAAGCCTGTGAGCTGTGGCTTCTTCATCCTAAGTGGGCTGTGTGTGGATAAACAAAGCATGGCTTGACTTCTGGCTTTCCTGATGAAGGTGTGGGCAGGAGAGGAAAGGGACCATACTGCTGTGAGTAGGGGACAGTGTCCTGTGGCTTGGCAGATGGTTCAAGCTGGCTCCTAGGAGGGCTTTGGGATTTATCTGATTCCCTGCCCATCTCTGACCCCAGTCCACTGAGCTCTCTTGTCCCCGGTTTCCTTGACGTGTGTTATCCAGTACACCTCGTCTTTTAATATGATTTACACAGAAGCCTGGTGGGGTCACTAATGGGCATCAAGCTGAAGAGAATGATTGAGAGAAATCATGCCGAAATCTCCCAGTAACAAATACTTCAGCCATCAGGGTCGGGCTGCTTAGATCTCTCTCCCCTGCATCCACTCTTGTGCTGGCCCAGTGCCAGCATCCATCCCTCTTGTTTTTATGGAATTCTTTCTCCCCCAAGAGATTCCCAGGCATCTGAAACTGTCTTCATTTTATTTTTGAACTGCAATGGTAAATTTTCCCCAGGTATGTGATGGTATAGATATGATTTCTCATGAGAAATTAGAATATATTACCACACCATTTCATGAGGTCAGACGCAGATTGAGAACTCTGAAGTCCAGATCCCATTCTTTCTTCCTCTCTAAACACATAGAGATGCCCCTGTGACGTTCACTAGAAAACACATTCCCTTCAAGCCCCTTCTTTCATTAGCCAATTCTTTGTTCACGTCTTTGTTGGCTTGTTATGGCCCCAACCCCTAACCCTATTCATATAGATTCCTTTCTTTTTGTCCATTTGCCCTGCTTCTTTGCTTCCTGGGAAATTCTCTCTCTCTCTCTCTCTCTCTCTCTCTCTCTCTCTCTCTCTCTCTCTCCAACCCATCCCATCAATTCTAGAGGGTAACCCAGAGCAATGACCACAGTCTGTATTGTTTGGGAGTTTCTGGGATCCCAGTGACCAACAACACAAAGGAAAGGGAGCTACATCTGGCATCAGGCTTTTTGTTTGATAGCCTATAACGTCTGGGAGAGGCATTGCCCCCATATAGGGTAACTCCATTAAAACTTATATACATTTATGAATATAAACACATACACATTTATATTTCAGGAAGCTTCTGCAATAGGAGATTCCCATCTGGCTTTTCCAGAGGACTTCAGGGTTTGTTATCATCCTCAAAGCTTTCTACTGCAGGAAAGGGAAGGAAGCTAGGGGCTAAGTACTCCATGCTGTGATGTCCCTGCTCTTCGTTTTTAATGTTTACTTTTGCATATATATATATATATATATATATATATATATATATATATATATGAGCTTAATCATGACATTTTGGAGAAGCATATGAGTGTCATCAATGTTGCTTATAGGGGCATGATATATCACCAGGAGCTGCACCCTTGACAAAGATGTCTTTCCCTCTCCGGTACCTATTGACTGGCTATAGATCCTCCAGTTGGATGATGCCTTGTGCCTGCCCCCCCCACCAGATGGACTCAATCTTGTGCAGGCCTTGCACAAATAATCACGGCAGTTGTGAGTTCATTGTAGTGTAATGTCTATGCTGTGTCTGGAAGATAGCGTTCCACAGCGCCCCACCCCTTCCTCCGGCTCGTGTGTTCTCTCTGCCCCTCTTCTGCAATGTGCCCTGCACACTGGAGGGTCTAATACAGATGTCCCCTTTACGGCTGAGCCTTCAAATGTCACTTATTCTTATCACGTGACCAGTCGTGACTCTCAGCACTCACTGCTGCCCACTGAAAACAGAAGCCTCCCTGACCACAGGCAGCCTGTTTTGAGTTCTGCAGAAAAAATTGAATCATTTCTGGCAATCCCAGGCTATTGCATCAGAATTTAACTTTCACTGCTCTCCAAAGCCAAAGATATTCTTAGTATAAAATAGACAATTGAGATAGCCCCCCCATTACAGAATTTGAATTTTTAATATAAATACTCTTACCTAGCCAGGCAAAGTCTGTAAGACGTTGAGAGAAGAATTTACAACATTTTTGTAGAAAGTTTTCCAAAAAAAAAAAGAAAAGATAATATATTAAAATTCTTTTTGTGAATCAAATATAAAACTAATACCAAAACCAGAAAAAGTGTATACAGAAAGAAAACTATAGACCAATATAGGCCATAAATATAAAATATAAAAGTTATAAATTAAATATGATCTTTAAGAGAATTGTACATCAAGATGAATTTAGTCCAGTGTTGTAAGGCTGGACTGGGCAGTATTGGCGCACACCTTTAATCTCACTGGGGAGGCAGAGGCAGACAGATCTCTGTGAGTTTGAGGCCAGCCTGGTCTACAGAGTGAGTAAGACTGGCCCAATGTTCCAGAGTCAGCTATTGTCATTTTAATAGGGTAAAGAAACCATTCATAGGGTCATACCAGTCGATGCAAAGAAAGTATTTGACAAACGTCAACCCCCATCTATTATAGAGAACTCTTGGAGAAAAAGGGACTAAAAGGGACTTTCCTCAGTTTGATAAAGAACACCAAAGGCCTGCAGCTAGCAGAGACTTAGCAGCAAGCCCTGTGGTTCCCTCCTAACATCAGGAATGAGGCCCTTGGGGGAGGGAGGCTGCTCTTCCCTACGTTTCTCAGCAGAAGGCTGCACTTTTATGCAGCCAATAAAGCAAAGAAAGAAAGAAGGACCTTTGCTTGCAGAGGACATTGCTGTCTACACAGAAAATCTCAAGGAGTTGATGAAGCAATTTATGCAACTAAAAAGTGACTTTAGCAAGGTCTGGGATGCAGAATAAACATACAAAAATCCACAGTGTTTCTCTTGCCAAATGGACAGTCACTAAAATTTAAAATATGACATCATTTAAAATCATCCTAAACCTAAGCATAAATCTATCTGAACATATATAGAGGGCTGCGAAGTACTAACGACAGACATGAAA